TCCACACATCTTAAAGTTGCCAAGGTTGAAAAACATTGCTCTAGATCAGGCTTCCCCAGTTTAGCATTCTCAGATGTATCAAGACTCCGCCTCCAAGAATTTCCATCTGCATGGCCATTGGGATATCGTATTCCTGATGCATCCTGCCAGGATGGAGAAGCCTATTCTAGTTCCTGATTTTATTTTCTGAGCTCTTTAAAAAGAGCAGTCTTTAAGAAGAGCAATTCCGTATAATAGCAGTTGAACAAAAAAAAATAATAGAAGTTGAATTTAAAAAAAACCTTCTTTGCATGATCCATTCTAGGATTTGGCTGCTACGAACAAGATCATCTGCTATATGCATTCTGAATTTAGGAAAATCCTCCTTAATAAATTTAGGAACTATAGAAAGCAAGGATTATTGTCGTAGTAAGCAAAAACACTCCAACAGATAATCTTTTCCTTTTTCTACTTTATTAACTTGCAATTTTTGAATTTACGGGACTGTTCAAACTGATTTATGAACTTACTGCGTTAAGCCTATTAGCTCCTATCATTTCTTTTAAAATTCCAATTAATTTCTCAGTAATCCTTAAAGCCTCTTGGTATTTAAGGTCAATGGCTTGCCTAAAGCCCACCAGTGAAGCTGGGCTGGGCTGTGACTGCAGCCACAGTCTTCTAGGTCATATAAGAGGTTCTTCTCTTCACCTAGCATTCTGCTAGCAGATGAAGTTTTGAACTTAAAATTCTTGTACAGGAAATTCGACAGGCTGTGAGAAGATAGCCAAAAGAAGACGTATCAGAAGAGGGGCCAATACTCTATTTAGTATAACTTTATATTTCTTCCTCATACCAGTTGAGGAACGTTTTCTGAAGAGTGGAATTGAACCAGCATAGAATATCTACTTTGCAATTATGACTTTCTCCGAACTTGGTTTTCAGACTGTTTCCTCCTCCTTTTTCTGAAAGGCGACCATCTCCGTCTTGTGAATGCTTCCCAAATCCCACGCGTAGAGGCGCTTCCCCATCTTGACAATCCAGGCTTTGAAGGGGACTTTGAAGTGCACGAAGCAAAGTCCTAGATGCTGTTGAAGCAAGACTGCAGTTCATTTGAGACACCAGCATCAAACGATGACAAAACCGATAGACTGATGTAGCAGCAACGTTGCCTTGATATTGAGATAAAATACACATTTTAAGATTGCAGTTATATGGCGTGACCTGCCCGTTCACTTATTTCTCTACTGAATTAGTTTTAGCACTTTTCAGCACAGATCTTTCTTTTCGCACGGCCAAGGAAGACCACAGCGTCCCACCAAGTCATCTGAGCCTAATCACTTTTTCATGCAGTAGAACTTTGGCTGTTCGTCCTACAAAAGCATAAACCCATAAAAAAAAATCCGCTGATCTTTAAATTAACTTTAAATCAATTGAGTTGGCTTTTTTAAAAAAATTTTTGAGCTTTCGGTTTATGAAACCACTGGGTTTCAGCACTGGTTCGAATTAGTTTTGCATTTATGTAATTTATTGAGGAGCCTCCTATTCTTGATCTTTGAGAATTGCCCCTTGCTGCATTAGATTGCCAAGCCATTCAGCGGTCAGTCCTGATGGTTAAAAGACATTGGGAATTTTCTACATCCACTTCACTGATTAGAGCAAATTAATACTATGAAACCAAATGGACATTGCAAAAATGTTCCAGGGAACAGAATGCAAGAGTAACGATTTTGTACCGGAAAAAAGAGCTGCTTCACATTTGCCCTGTGTTTTCTTCTCAGTTTTAACATTCAGCTGCCACAGGGCCCAGCTAATGGTCCAATTTTTTAGTTAGTGCTGCTCTTAACTTTGTCAGAGGCTGACAAATATGCCTGACTCAAGGAGATTGTTTTTGTTGCTGCTACTCCAAAGAAACAGCTAAGTAAAGATACCCAAAGAGTACTGTAAATATTCAGAGTAGGCAATGCATGGACATGGCTAAACTGGAAATTAATGAATGGGTGAACTTCTGAAATTGTTTTTCTAATGTGTGATGTGGGAATAAGGGGAACACTGGGTGCCTTCACATGGAGCCCAAAACCTCATTACCAAAATGAATTACTATATTTAATAATGCACTTTATTTTGCATCTGTGTTTCCGTTTCTGATTGCAAGTCTAGCATAAATGGACTGGAGAACAGTGGTGATACGTTTTTACCTTTTCATGTGATTCTGATAGGGAAATCAGTACATCTTTCCCCCTTTTCGCATAGTGTCCAATAAAGTTGTAAATATTTGATTTCTATTGAATTCCTTTGAATACAAAATGTAAATAAAGCTATTCTACTGCCTGTTTAGGATGTTCTCTCTCTCTCTCTCTCTCTCTCTCTCTCTTTTTTAATAATAAAAGCAGTTGTATTCAAACTGGCCTGTGTTTGGCAGTCTAGAGCTTATCAAATAACATTGCAGAAATCCAGAAAGTGAGATTGCTTCGTAGCATCCATGTTAATTTAAAAATTATTTCCGTCCTAAAAAAAAGGAAGTATATGAGACATATGAAACTATCCACTGAGATCTTCAGCGGTGAAGAAAGGCCAGCTAGGAATTAGAAAAGGTTGTGGATGGAAGTTTCAGCTGTTTCAAAAACCGCCAGGTTGTGGGGAAACACTTTTGTCTAAATCGCTGCAGATTTGGGAGGATACGGCGCTTCTCTTTTAAGGTAGAACTGCACTGCTAAGGTTGGTCAAAAATGTTTAACATCCTGAT